TTTTTAATATTTCTTCATTTTTGAGAGACAGAGCACGAGCCAAGAGAGGAGCAGAGAGAGGAGACACAGGGTCTGAAGCAGGCTTCATGCTCCCAGCTGTCAGCACAGAGCCTGATGAGGGGTTCCCTCAAACCCACAAACTGTGAGATCATGACTTGAGCTGAAGTTGGTCACTTAACCGACTGCGCCACCCAGGCGCCCCTATAATTTATTTATTTGGATTTTCTGCATAATTTATGTAAGCAGAGAAATTAAAATTTATTGGTAAAGGGAAAGAAAAGAGTGTCAATTTTTTTTTTCAAATTTCAGAATGCCATCCAGAATCCTTTAAAAAATATATGTTGCGTAAATCAAATCCTTATTGGTGAGGGTTCTGTATAGAGTTAGTCCTGTTAATCATGCATTTGGACAAAGTAATTAACTTGAGGCATGTGCATTTTATTCGTTCCACAAATATTTATTGAATGCCAAGTTTGTGCATGATAATATGTGCAATAGGGGACTATCAGGATAAATATGATATGTCCCTTATAGTTGGACTATAGAATCCAGATGTTGATGAGGCAACTGGAACTCCAGCCTTTCTCTCCAGCCTTATACTGTGTAGTAGTTGGCCAAGGCTGCCATACTCCAGTGCCCTAAACCAACTGTAGCACAGTAATAACCCTTGCAATGCTAGGGGTTAATGGTACAGATGAAGGTGTCAGCAGGGTTAGTTTCTTCTGAGGCCTCTCCTTGGTTTGTAGCTGGCCTACTTGTCCCTGTGTCTTCACACGGTCTTCTTTCTGTGTCTGTGACCACTGTCCCTCTTACAAAGACACCACTTATATTAGAGCCCACCCTAATGATGTTACTTTTACTTCATTAACCTCTAAAAGCCTTATCTCCAAATACAGTCCTATTCTAAGGATCTAGTTGTTAGCACTTTAACATATGAATTTGGGCAAGACAGTTAAGCCCATAACACTCCCCCCAAGTCCTGACATTATTCAGTGTACCCACACAGGACTATTTGGTGAATACTACACTCCTTGTGTGCCTTTGCACACTTATACTGATGGCAACTTTGTCTGCCTTGTCTGTGTTTTAATTACTTGGGCAGTGAAGAAGAGTTAGCAAAGTTCTCTTCTACCTTCTGATAACACTTTATTCATCTTAAAATTTTATTACATATTGAATTTGAAGTTCTTTTTCTAATGTATGTTTAAGCATTCATTAAATGTTTGTTGGAGGGGCAGTTAGGTGGTCAGGGTAAGTTTGGAGGAAGAGGTAGGTCCAGCTGTAACATAAAGTGTCATGTAACAAGTATTACAGAAGTAGTGCAGCGGAGATAAATGCTGTAGAAATGTAGAGGAAGGGTCAGATTATACATGCTTTTGGATGTGTAGGGGAGGAATCATAGAAGAGGTGGTATTTGAGTATGTCCTTGGAGAATGGTGTCATATTTTGAGACATGCAGACCAACAGATGTCAGCCAGCACTTGCAAAATAATATGACCAAAGCAATAGACAGGAGGAAGTAAGATCTGTTTAGGCATAGTGAGTATTACTCTTTGGTTGGAATGTAGCATATTAGATTGTGTATTAGTTTACTATTGCTGTAATAAATTACCACAAACTAGTGTCTTTTTTTTAACATTTATGTATTTTTGAGAGAGAGTTTGCACGTGCATGTGTGCGTACAGGAGGGGCAGAGAGAGGGAGACAGAGGATCTTATAAGGCTCCTCCTCACTGGGCTTGAACTCACGAACTAAATTCCAAACCTTGAGATCATGACCTGAGCCAAAATCAAGAGTTGGTCGCTTAACCAACTGAGCCACTCAGGTGCCCCAGCACAAACTAGTATCTTAAAACAACACAAATCTATTATCTTACAGTTCTGGAGGTTGGAAGTCCAAAGTGGGTCTCCCTGGGCTAATTAATTAAGGTGTTGGCAGGGTTGTATTCCTTTCCAGAGGCCATAGGGGAGTACCTGTTCTCTTGCCTTTTTTAACTTCTGGAGGCTGCCCACATTCTTTGGCCCACTTAAAGCCAGCAAAGGTCAGCTGAGTCTTTCTAATATCTCATCTCTCTGACTCACTGTCTCTTCTCTGGGCTCTTCCTGCTTTTAAGGACCCCTGTGATTATAATTGGGTCCACCCAGATAATCCAAGATAATCTCCCTAATTTAAAGTCATCTGATTAACAACCTTAATTCTCTCTGCTGCCTTAATTCTCCTTTGGCATGTATCATAATCACAGGTTAAGGGAATTAGGACAAGGATGTCCTTGAGAGGACATTATCCAGCCTACCACAGGTAGGTTGGGGCCAAATTGTGGGAGCTTTAAGTACAGCCACTGAAGAGTTTTGATCAAAGGAATGGCATGATGAAAGCAGTGTTTTGGAAAGTTTAATCTATGCTCTGTATGCTATCTAGAATATACCACTAGAAAAATCAACCCTGGGGGCGCCTGGGTTTCAGCTCAGGTCACGATCTCACAGTTTCCTGGGTTCAAGCCCCATGTCAGTCTCTGTGCTGGGAGTGTGGAGCCTGCTTGGGATTCTCTTTCTCCTCTCTCTCTGACCCTCCCCCACTTGTGCTGTCTCTGTCTCTCTCAAAATAAATAAATCTACTTTTTAAAGAGAAAGAAAAGAAAAATCAACCCTGAATTTTCAGCTTTGTCATTGATCCTCCCTTCCTCACTCCTTCCTTTTCCCTTTCACCCTTCCCTTCCTTCTTCTTAGAATAGCTTATATCCACAGATGCTTAATCAGACAGAATTCATTGTCCTCAACACGAATACAGCACTGTTTCTGATTGTGTTCACTGTAAGACCTTTTCACCATGTTATGGAAGGAATACTATGCTACCAGTCAGGAGATGTGAGTTATGACTCAAACTCTGTCAGTAATTTGATTTGTAATCTTAGGGATATCCTTTAGTCTCTCTGTGATGCAGTCCTCCCTCTTTGTAATCAGGATGATAATAGCCTGTCTGACATGCTCATCTGACAGAGATATAAATATGAATTTATTCCAAAATAACGTAGCATATTTTTATTTTTTGTCACAAGTAGTTGGCTTGTGACTTTAGAACTTTTTGTTTTTCTTTTTGTATATTGAAGAACCAAGGATCAAACAAAAAACAACAAAAAATAAAAAGCTCAATGATCCATGCCTAATTGACCTACTCTCCTCACCCTTTTTCTCTACAGATAGATACCAGGGCAACTAAGTCATAGCCAGTCAGGTACTGTTTTATAGACCTGTTTTCAAGACCGGACTGCTAGGCAATAAGAGTCTTAAAACCCTCACTTTGAGGAAGATAATTTTAATTTAGCTGAATGGTTTTGTGGAAGCTGGTTATGCATATGAAGGAATAACGCAGATTTATGTTATGCTTTATAAATAAACAAGACAGGCCACTGGTAAAAATCCTAAAATGTTTGTGATTCATAACTCAAAATTGTTTGCTCTGAGCTGTTTGCAAACTTTCCGTTGGTCTAATAGATCAGAATGAATCAAATTCAAAACCTCTTCTCTCTATTGTTGCTCTGTCAAAGTTTACATAGCCATCAAAAAGAAAAAAAAATATATGCAGGTTTTACAATATGAAGGCTTCACATTGACAGTATAGTTGGTATTGCTTCAGTACACGTGACTCTTAGAGTAAATGTTTCACTTGTCTATAATAGAAATATGACGTAAGCTATAAATATGAACCTTACTATAATTAAAAATTTTCTAGTAGTCACATGCAGAAAAGTAAAAAGAAAGAGTTGAAATTAATAATGTATTTTTAATCAGGAATATCATGTCAACACGTCATCAATATAAGAAATTATTAATGGGATATTTTACTTTTTTTGTATTAAGTCTTTGAAATTTGATGTATATTTTATACATAAAACCCATCCAATTTGGAGTAGCCACAGTTTTCAAGCACTCAGTGGCTACGTGTGGCTGGCAGCTATTGTGTTGGACAGTGTGGGTCTTCTGCGGATGTATCTACATAATTCATGCATGAAATTTTAGAGCCTTTCCTTAAAGCTGTCTATATCGCCTTGTCTAATCCCCTCACTTCCCTTCACAGTCTTGCTCTGATCCTCATTTCATTCCATATTGTTCTCCCTTAGACGTTTCCTTCCCTTCGTTGAAACATATTCCTCTCTCTCGTACTCTGTCAAGTCTCCCTATCCTGTTTTGCTGAGATACTCAGGAAAGAAAGTGCTGTTAACATTATGACCTCCTACCGACCACCATACCCCCTCAAAATATGTGTTACCAGTAGATCTCACCAGTGTCAGTACCATGGGGGAATGAAATTAAGTTCTTCCTCCTCTTTGGCAAAGTCAGGAATCCCTGATAACAGTGGTGTCTGATAGGAAAAACTAGTCAGGAGTATATAACTTGTAGGCTTTAGATCTATTATTACAAAATACAGAATAAGAATCGTATGTTTTGCTATTACTAACACTTTGCATTTAACCAGTCCCAGAAGCCAAAACAGTTAATAGTTACCTCAGAAATGGGATATAAGTATATAGTTCAATTTTGCTGACTAGGTTAGAGCAAAGGACCATAATCAGACGTTCCTGCTAGACCATCTTGCCTCTTTTCCTTCCTCTTTGTAATCATTTCTTAGAATTTATAATTCCTAGGTGTTTTGTAGTCATGCATTATTTACCTCTCACAACGCATTATATAGCCCCAGTTTATAAATGCACAGCCATGCAGTGGTTTTGTTTTTTGCTAAGTAACTCAAAAAGTCAATGCCAGAAATCCAAAAATGAAACTAAGAAAATTCCATTTTTAATTGCATTTAAATACTATTTAAGAATAAATTTAACAAAAGAAGTATATAAAACATGTATTCCAAAAACTACAAAACACTGTTGGAAGGTCTGAATAAATGGAAAGTATCCCATATTCATCTTTTCTTAATATTGTTGAGGTACTTCTCAAATTGACCTACATATTCAACAAATCCCAGCTGTCCTTTTTTTTTTTTTTTTTTTTTTTTTTTTTTTTTTCTTTCTTTTGGCAGAAATTGACAAGCTGATCTTCAAATTTATATGGAAATCCAAGGGACCCAGAATAGCCAAAATGATTTTGAAAAGGAAGGACAAAATAGGAACACTCAAACTTTCTGATTTCAAAGACCTATTATAAAACTACAGTAATCAAGACAGTGTGGCACTGGCATAAGGATGCACTTGGAAATGTTTGCAGACCTTCCTGGTGTCTGGGGCTCTGAGTTATTTTAAAATGATAGACCAGCCCACTTTAGGCTTTTAAGATTTTTAAGTTCAGCTGATTTCTTGGTGCCCACTTCTTTCCATGCCGTGCCAGAGGCAAAACGGTTTCTGTGTCCTGTTTTTCTTTGGAGGAACTTGTTACTCTGTGGCTTTCTGGGTATTTTTGGTTGTCTTGCATACTCAGCTGTCTGGTGAATTCAAGAATAGTTATGATTTTATAGATCACTTAGTCTTTTCTCATTGTTATGGTGGAAGGAATATTCTCTTCTTGCTTCCTGTATCCTAAACAGAGTGGAAATAACATGGTGCTTATCGTGTAATAGATTCAGCACTTAGTTAAAATTTGCATAAGTAGGTTGAATTCATTGAATACTTAGGTATCATATAAGTATTATGCTTAGTGTGCTGAGCACTTACAAATCATCTCATTTGATCCACACACCTATCTGTGAGGTATAGGTGCTGCTGTTATTCCTAGTTTTTTGGTTTTTTTGTTTTTTGTTTTGTTTTGTTTTTTTTAGATGAAACTAAAGCTTCATGGAGAAAAGGAACTAGAGGCACAACAATAAATATTTTTGTTGATTTTACCTAAGTCACCTTCCGTCTCTCCTCCCTCCCAAATAAAATTCTTGAGTCTTTTTTCATTTCTGCAAGGAAAGGAGAGGTGTCTTTGGCATTGCAAGTTCTCATTTCCTCATTTGATGGGCAGTGAGGCACAGTATAAATGAAGGAAAGGCTTTGAAGGGATCTAGTTGGACTTTTGATTAACAGAGAGAAGACACCCTCAGGTCTGAAGGCTTTGGGTGGTCAGTACTAGCAACTAGGTTTTGTAACAGGTGAATGACAAAATGACTGTTACAGCTTTGCTGCCACTTTACATTTTCCCCCCTTCCCTTCTGCCTCTGGTGTGCAGTAGATAATAGCCTTCGGTTTTCTTATGGGATAGTAGAATTTTAAGTATTTTCCATTACTGTTAAATTCTTGTACTAATCTGCTATGTGGGAATTCCTGTAGGTAGCCATCGTGCTAGAGACCCTATAATTCTACCAGTTAACATTTGTCTTAACAAATTTCCTTTGTAGGCTACATTCAGCAAAAGGTGGACTAACAAAATGTTTTCATTTTTTTAAAATTTCTGTTTTGTTCACTTTCATAAAAGAAACTATGAGATGAGCCTGATCAATAAGCCCAGATAAAACAAATGTTATTAATTCATCTCTTCAGCTATTTTCTGAAATTCGTTTTCCAAGATGTACCATTTGTAACTCACCACATTAATCATTCTACATTTTCTCACACTCTGGTTGATAGATGCAAGCGAAGCTTCATGTATTGCCTATCTTTGTTGGAATTTCAGCATCTTTTAAAATATTCCACACGTTAATATAAACTGGATGATAGACCCCTGGCCATTATTGTATTCGTGAACAGCATTAGTGCAGAGACAGTGCTAAAGGTTAAAGAATTGGAATATGGAGACAAGGAGGAGTATTTATATATGATAGTATATTTTATAATGTTCTAGCTTGATGTAACAGCTACTTATATGCTGCCTCTTCCCTAGTTATCAGGGAATATGAAGAATAGAGAAAGCATCCAGGAACCTAGATTTGATTATTACAACCATGAAGTTTCTGATATTGACCTCAGTGATTGTGAATTTCCACATGTCATAGAAATTTATGACTTCCCCCAAGAATTTCGTACTGAAGACCTCCTGCGGGTTTTCTGCAGTTATCAGTAAGTACATGCAAATGGTTGGGCATGTTTGGGAAGGTGAAATGAAGTTTTCTTAAAATGTCTTCTGAAAAATCATCTCTTTAGTTTGCATTACTTGTTGTTTACTTTAGCATCAGTTTTGTTTATTGTCTTTACCAAGTTGGTTAGAAATCTTCTGTATCAAGCCAGTCTTCTGAGTTCTTTAAAAATGCCAAAGTCGTTCTAGACCCCATGTTAGCATTTAAGAATGTCCTCAGTGATGACTTCTGAATGTCTTCATGGTGCATTTAGTCCATTTATATGTATTATAACTATTGATATATTTGGATGTATGCCTGCCATCTTTTTTTGTGTTTACTTGTTTCATCTTTTTTTCTTCTTTCTTGCCTTCTTTTGGATTGATGAGGTATTTTTTTCTCATTCTGTTTTGTTTGGAAATGATACTTTGTTTCTATTCTTTGGTGGTTACTTTAGAAATTACAAAATGCATGCTTAACTTACCAGTGGCTAAAGTTAATATTTTTACACTCTTTCCAAACATGATAAGAGCTTTTAACTCCATTTCCCAATTCTATTTCCTCCCTTTTCGCCACCCCCAACTAATATGCTATTGTGACTATTCTCTTAATTTTATTTTTAAACTCCATTTGATGTTACTATTTTATATATTTAGCATTCAGATTTATCCACGTTCTGTGTTCTTTATCTATACGTCTTGCATCTCGTATATCTTCCATCTGAAATATTTTTCTTCCTGCATGGAACGTATTTCCTTAGTATTTAATTTAGTAACAAATTGCTGTTAACAAACTCAGTTGGATTTTTTGTTGTCTTTTAATGGCATTGTGTCAACTTCATTTTTCAGACATTTTTGCTAGGTGTAGAATTCTAGGTTGACAGTCATTTTTCTCTCAGAAACATGTAGATTTATTCTACTGTTTCCCGTCTTTCTCTGTGGAGAATAAGAAGCCAGCTAAAAGTTCACAACTGTTGCTTCTGAATGTAATCTGTCTTTTCTCTTTGGATGCTCTTAGTGATTTCTCTTTGTCTTTGGTATTGTGCGTTGTAGTGTGATGGGGCTTTGCTTTTTTGTTTGGTTGGGTTGGTTTTTTTGTTCTTTTGTTTCTTTTGTTTTTAATTCTTGAGATTATTTGAGCTTCTTAAATCAGTAAGTATTTTTCATTGGTTTTGGAGAACACCCACATTATCTCTTCAGATAGAGATAATGGCCTCTGTGCCAGTCTCTCTTTTACTTTCTCTAAGATGCCAAGAAAATATATATTCGACCTTCTCATTTAATCCTCATGTTACCTCCTTTATGTTTTCCATGTTTGTCTCTGTTATATTCTAAGTAGTTTCTTTAGCTCTTATTTCCAGTTCACTAATTTTTTCTTTAGCTGTGTTTAATTTTCTGTTAATTCTGCCCATTGAATGTTTAAATTTCATTTTATGTTTTTCTTTTTTTCAAAATTATCCATTTCTCTTTAAAATCTGCATGGTCATTTTTTAGTTTCTTTTATTCTAAAATATTTTCAAGATTTAAAAAATTTCTTCAAGTATATTAAACATAAACCTTCTGTGGTCTGTGTCTGGTAATTCCTTTACCTGACATCTTTTTAGTTCTGCTTCTGCAAATTCTTACTTGTAGTGCCTTGGCTTTTTTGGAGGCTTAGTTACTTTTCTTACTGTGAGCCAACTCTTTTCCTTGGAATTTTATTTATGGGAATTGGAGTCTACAGTAGAAGAAGAGGATTTCTCCTGAAAGGATATGCATTTTCTTCTTCTAAGCACCAAGGGCCCTAACAATTCAGCAGCACTACAAATTAAATTATTGATTTGAGGTTATTCTGACCATTGAGATAGAAATAGTCAAGTGGAGAATGGTAAGAAATGATTGTCATATGTCTCAACTAGTTTATTTTAACAACACATATACACACTTGCCAGTCTTTGATGTGGTGCCAAAGCCTTTTATTTCTTTTAAGTTATTGGTCTATTGATAAAAGAGTTCCTAAATGTTATCTCATAACATATCAACTGAAGTAGAACAAGAACTTTAATGTACCTTTAGAGTCATCTGGGTGCATATTCCTTATAGGTTAAAATGTTTGTCTTTTATAGCTGTTTGCCCAAGCATAATTGGTCATTGTTCTTGGATTTTTTTAGTGACTTCACCATTCTCTAGTCTTCCAAAGCATTCAGTTAAGTTTTTATAGACACAACAATTCTTCTTTTTGACACTCATATTTCGTTGTTTAAATTTTATTAAATTATGTAGTGAAAATATAAATAAAAACTGATATAAGTGGGTTTGAAAACAGTTGCACTAACTCTAGTTATGTATATAGTTTATACATATATAGGACAAGGTAAAAGAATCAGAAGTGTACCTCTGTATTTTTAGCTTATAAGAAGAAAATAAGTTTCAGGGGTAAAGAAACAATCCAGAAAGAAAGTTATTGAGAAAAAGATCTTTAGGATCTTGAAGAAGTCAATACCAACAAGGATTATACTTTAACATTCTAATCCTGAGAATTAAAAATGAACTAAGTCCGTTGTCCGATGCTACAGTTTTTAAATTTGTGGCATCGGACAACGGACTTAGTTCATTTTTAATTTAATTTAAAATTAATTTAAATTTAAAATTTGGGGCGCCTGGGTGGCTCAGTCCATTAAGTGTCCGACTCTTGATCTCGGCTCAGGTCATAATCTTGTAGTTGTGAGATAGAGTCCCATGTCCGGTACCACACTGGGTATGGAGCCTGCTTAAGATTCTCTCTCCTCCCTCTGCCCCTCTCCTACTCATGCGTGCTCATGCTCTCTCTCTCTTTCTCTCTGAAAAAATACTCAATTCATATGTATCTTGAATTTTTAAGATTCTGTATCAGTTAGGGTTTAGCTCCCCACTTTTTCTTAAAGGGTCAGATAGGAAATATTTTAGGCAACTCTGCCATCATTGCACAAAAGCAGCCACAGACAATACAAATGAGCATGATTGTATTCAGTGAAATTCTATGTACAAAAACAAGAACCCTATTTTTTTTTACAAAGTTCTAGAACAGATAGAACTAGCTAGCAGCCATGTACCTCACCTAAATTTGAATGGGGGGCGAGTATCAGTTCTATAACTAAAAGAAATAAGGGGGTGACTGGATCATGGAGGACATTTAATCTTCCTATACACCGTACGCTAAATTTATAGGTTTGCTCAGTCTAATTCATTAGCATTATATTAAGACCCTGTATCAGGGCCTGTTGCACATAAAGTGCCTAATAGATTTTAAAAAGCAGTCAGTGAGATTAAATCCCAAATTAGAACTACCTTAGATTGTTATTAGTAATGATGATTTTTTTTTTTTTTTTCAACATTTATTTATTTTTGGGACAGAGAGAGAGCATGAACGGGGGAGGGGCAGAGAGAGGGAGACACAGAATCGGAAACAGGCTCCAGGCTCTGAGCCATCAGCCCAGAGCCTGACGCGGGGCTCGAACTCACGGACCGCGAGATCGTGACCTGGCTGAAGTCGGACGCTTAACCGACTGCGCCACCCAGGCGCCCCAGTAATGATGATTTTTAAAACCAAGGATTAGTTTTGTTGATGTCTAGAATTTCCTGAAGGCTAGTTAATTCTTATGAATTATTAATTTCCCTTTGCTATATTTCTTCCTAATCTTACCTGCAAGTCCATTTTTCTCTCAAACCTAAAAACAGTCCCAAAAGAGGAGAAGCATTTTAAAGGATTATAAAATTCCAGTCTAAAAGGCTCTCCAGAACCCATCTAAGGTCTTTTGCTAACCTTTTTGTAAACTATTATTATATAGACTCTTGTGCTATTGAACTTTTTTAGTCTCCAACCCCTGTGGTCATTTTATGCCATGGTCAAACTTACCCTTACATTCGGGAAATTCTCTAACTAACCTTGAAGCCTCCTTCATTCCTTTTTTCCTCAAAGGAATTTTTTTTTTCTCATCTGAAGGAAGATATTTTAGCTGTTGTCTTTTTCCTTTCTTTATAGTGCTTTATAAGAATAAAGTCAAGGTCATGGTACAAAAGCCTGTAATAACATCTTGAGAGTCAAATACCTGAATCAACTTTGTATTTTAGTCACTATCTTTATCAATATTAATAATATTCCTGATGAATATTGCTATTAGTCATAAAAAATAATGAGTAACATTCATTTATTAAATGCCCGTAAGTGCTCAACACTGTGCTCTTTGTCTTGTCATAGATGATCTCATTTCCATTTTTACAATAACTGGAAGGTACTATGCCCATTCTACAGATGAGCAGACCTAGCTTCAAGAGAAGTTAAATCTGCCCAAGGTCTCAACATGGCAGAACCCTGAGTCCTTATGCATCTGACCCTTAACCCGGTACCCTTTCTGTAGAACCGTTGAACCTATGAGCCGTTTTAAGTTCCTAGCTGAGAAAAATAATGTCATCATTTTGATAGTCATTATGCGCACTAATAGCTCTGCTCCAAAATAAAGGTGTTTTTTAGTACTTCGTGGTCTTTCTTTTGATTCTGTCTAATCCTGTCTGACGTTTCTCTGAGCTTGATTTCTTTTATCCTGAATTTTTCTGACTTTGCCACAATTCTTTCCTTTTTTCCCCTTCGTACTTTCTTTTACAACTAGAAAGATTAGTCAGCCTCTCTGATTAGAGTTGTCTTTTTTTCTCTATTACTTACTTTTTTTTTGTCTTTGGGGTTTTTTGTTTGTTTCTTGCTTTGAATGACCTGTTTCCCTCTCCCTCTCTGTCTCTCCGTGAGTCTACATTTGCATTAAATCCAGGTGACCTTCCCTGCCTCCCTCCTCTTCCAGTATTCTTCTACCCCTCCTCTACTTTCTCTTTTCACCTCTTCTTGTTCTGTGCCCACAAGAACATCTCTTGTAAATAGTGCGATAAATACTTTACCTCCCCAAGGGACATGTGAGGATTAATTAGTTGATGTCTATAAAATGGCTGGGAACATAAAATACTCCCAGGTAGTTCTTTATGATGGTATTATTGCTTTTAAAATTCAGTGGCTTCTTCTGTCCTCCAAGCTGTTTTTTTGTGTCATTATCCCCATTCCACCTGTGCTCGTTGAGTGTTTATCTCATCATGAAATGCTTTATGAGACTCTATTTGAAAGCTGTTTCATAAAAGTAAATTTTATTTTAAGAAATAAAATTGTGTTCTTTTGTTGCAGAAAGAAAGGATTTGATATTAAATGGGTGGATGATACACACGCCCTAGGAGTATTCTCCAGTCCAATTACAGGTATTCGCCCAGTGGATTGTGGTAGTCTTTTCTCATTGTCCCTTTTCTCCTGCTACTTGTTCTTATTTCCCTTGTATTGTAGCCAACTGGCATTTTATTCAGCCAGTTATAGGTGAATGGCAGAAACAGGTTTTTGAGGCATAGTGCTTTGGTACCCATGTGCTCCCTCTCTTCCTTTTCACCTTAATCCAGTGGTGTTTGGAATGAGAGCCAACTCCTTCCAAGGTTACATGCTGTATAATGGTCAGTTCGGATAGTACATAAGCAGACTGTAAGTAGAAATTTAAGAAACCAGTGTGACTGAATCTTAAAATTTTTGTGATGTTTTTCCCTCAGACAAATGAATTCGAAATAGCCCTTTAACCTTTCCAGTGAGAAATCTCTCCCTGGAAGTAATAACTCTCACTACATAATACCTACTTTCTGAATATATGAGGGGGCCTTTTGAATTACATCGTTAGCTTCATGATTGATGTGATGCAGAAGCATTCAGAGAAATGAGAGATGTTGGATCCTGTCCGAACCACTTAGAATAGGGATCTGCAGACTTACTCTCTAAAGGACCACATAGTAAATATTTAGGGTGTAAGGTCTCTGTCACTACTTAATTCTGTTGTAATAAGAAAGCATCCCTAAACAGTATTCAAATGAATAGGAATGGCTCTGTTTCAGTAAAATGTTACAAAAATAGGTGGTTGGCTGGATTTGGTCGCAAAACCATAGTTTGCTGATCCCTGATCTAAAATAATCACTTGCCGACTTGTTAATGGATTTTGTAAAGCTTGCCGTGGGGGGAAAAAAAAAAAAAGCATAACATCTAGACATCTAGGAAATAACTTTCTGAGAACTAGCCTTAAATTTTCCTCTGTATCACTCTTCTTCATGTCGTCTACTTCCTTACACGTATTCTTCTTTGCAGCTCGTGATGCTCTGGGTAGTAAACATACCATGGTGAAAATCAGGCCATTGTCACAGGCCACAAGAGCAGCCAAGGCCAAAGCTAGAGCTTATGCCGGTGAGCCTATAATCTCGGGCTTTTCTTGTTGGTAGTGTATTATTATTTTCTCCAGCACTTACTCCTCATCTAGAATTCTAAAGACCTATCACTTTTATTTTTTAGTGTTTAAGGTAGTATGTTCTTAAAGAGAAAATAGAAAAGGTTATGTTGGAAATATGGCATTTGAGTAGCCAGTTGGAGAGAGTGGGAGATCTGGCCAAGCAACGCAGCAACCGTTTTTTTGTTGTTGTTGACATCCTTATCTGGTTTACCTCACTGTTGAGCTGTTTGAGTCACTGTAGAAATTGTATTAATACAGATAACGAAGCCAGGATTGTTTGTGCTTTGCCATTTTAGTTTCCTCTGATGATCATCTATTGGCCCATATTAATTACTGCTGATGCAGCCCTTGTTAGTCTATTTTATATGTTAATTATGGAGTTAAATCACTTGGCACTAGAGTGCCTTCTCTTCCTTACTTCCTCCTGCCCCCTCTGTTTCTCCCATTCAGAGTTCCTCCAGCCAGCAAAGGAGCGTCCTGAGACTTCAGCAGCCCTAGCCAGAAGGTTAGTCATCAGTGCCCTTGGGGTTCGAAGTAAACAGAGCAAAACAGAAAGGGAAGCAGAGCTCAAGAAACTGCAGGAGGCCCGAGGTGAGTTGAAGTGATGGTGTTCTTCTCTAGTTCTCTAGAGCTCACTATAAGACATGTGGTTAAAAAAAAAAAAAAAGGAACGGAGCCCTTTCCCTTTTGTCATTTCCATTTCCTGGAAGCCTCCCAAGTGTATTAAAATTGTTTTCATGCCTTATATTTAGGGTGGAGACATTTCAGGATTTCTCTTCCTGTTCCATACACCAGGCATCCTAATCCATGTTTCTACTGTGGTTTTCTAAGAGATAGGTTCGGTCTTCTCAGCTCATCATCCATGGCTTTCGCTCTAGTTGTTGCTCCAAACTCTGAGCAAACTTTTCCTGTAAAGACATAGTAGTCTTTCAGACAGAAAACATTTGCTGTGGTTTTATTGGACCTTGATTGCCATGATATTATCTAATGGTTTAGATTGTAGGTAGAAGACAAATTAAGGAAAAGCCATCGACTGACACGGATGATGATAACTGTAGGAGGTATTTTTTCCTTTAAAGGCAGCTCTGAGTGGCTCCCTTAGAGTACATATGGATTAACCTATCTTCTGATTATTTTGCAGTACCTACGAGTTCTTAGAAAATATTTCCACTGATCCACAGCAGGGTTTTTCTTTCCCTGTAGTTTGGAGTTGAGGTTAAAATTTCTCTCTTCCCTCCTTACAGGCTGTTGACTTAAATGTAAAGGCCTGGGATTCTGGCTTTACACTTAAGTACTTTTTATCAACCTTCCAGGCTTTAAACAGTCTCATTGCCTTAGCCCACGATCTGTGGGATCTGTGAAGGCAATTTATTCTGAAAATTCCACTTACCAAAAAGTAACTTCATTTTTCCATTAAACGAATTGAAGTTTTAAACTCCTTGTTTATTGCCAGTCTAACAAGGCCATTAATACTTCCTGTCCACTCTTGCTTTGGTGATAGCAGGCGGCTTGCGGACTCTCAGCTGCACTGGCCAGATAACCAGTGACAGAGTGTGTCATGGCAGGTGCTAGAGTTTCAGAGTTGAACCCAACTAATTTTTTGAAACCTTAATGATTATAATGAGGCAGTTTTGATTTTTCCAGTGCACGTTCACTCAAGGGCCTTTTACGGACTATAGGTAGTTTTTATACACGGCAATAACAGAACTAGAGTAAAGCAGAATGTGCAATGTCCTTAACCCTTTATTAATGGTTATCTCTGAGGAAAGTGTTTTCTCTGTGATAACCACAATTATCTCAGAAAATCGCAAGAGGGTAATAACTGTGGTATCTATAAGGGAAGATGTGGCTCTTTTTGCAGTGTATTATGTTTCCCTACCCTACGCATGTAATATTACCTGTATTTCTACAGGTACTGCAGCAATAGTCTTGCACAGATGTCATCTTGAGTATTCCCCTCTGTTTTTCTGTAAGCACATTAGCATGTAGCTTCATTTGAAGTGTTTGTTTTAAATGTCCCCTTATACAGAGGACATTTCAGTGATGCAGTTAAAAATGAGACTATTGGCTGAGTACCCTGTTACTTAACTTTTTGAAAGAAGGCCTTGATTTGTGAATAGAGACTCACTGTGATAAGTTCCTCTCATCCATTGGTGCTGAGGCTGTACAGATTATAGAAGATTCTTCCTTTATTATGCTTCAGAGCTCTCCCATTCTTCATATCTGAGAAAACGCATATGGAAAATTCCTGATATATCTCTTTCTGACTTCTTTATGCATTAAGCAGATATTCTTGTACCTGCCTGCATGGAGCCCAAGACTTCTCACTTAAAGACTTTTTCTCTCTGGAAATGAAAAGTACTGTTTAGGTATTCAACAGAACAGATATTTTTGCTCCAGACCTTTTTCCACTGGAGGGGGTAGGGATCAGTACAGCTTGGTGGATAACATAATAGATTCTGGAATCAGACTGCCTGCGTCTACCCATAAGCTCTACAATTTACTGGCTGTGTGACCTTGAGCAGATTACTTATTCTCTGGAGGCCTCTGTTTCCTCATCCATAAAATGGACATGAAGTGAGATAATCCACAGAAGATGCTTAGTCATCTTCAGAACCTATAGAAATGCACTCTGTCCTGTTTCTATAGGTCTGTAATAAGTATGTGATATATGTTAGCTGCTGCTGTTTTTAGTAATAGTAGCAATATTATGAGTCTAGCACGGATCTCAGTGCACATTTTTTGTCATTACTTTTTTTATTTTAAATTTTCTATAACACTCCAAAAACAACATTTGACATTCACTAAGCACCTGCCCTGTATAAATTATGCATTATGCTCCTACTTGGGAGAATTAGAAAGACCGCAAAATTTTGTTCCTTTACTTAAGACTTAGTCTAGTGAGGATATCTACCTTGAGTAAAGAAGAAAATAATTTTTTCAGCAGTTGTTTCTCTTCTCACTTCAATTTGGAAAACTTTTTAAAAATTCCAGTATAGTTAATATACAGTGTTAAATTAGTTTCAGGTGTACAATATAGTCATTCAATAATTCTATACATTACTCAGTGCTCATCAAGATATGTGTACTCTTAACCTGCATCACCTATTTCACATCCCTCCCACCCACCTCCCCTCCGGTAACCATCAGTTTGTTCTCTATAGTTAGGAGTTTTTTGGTTTGTCTTGGTTTTTTCCTTTGTTCATTTGTTTCTTAAATTCCACATGAGTGAAAAATCATATTTTTTATGCTTAGCATTTCATAATCATATTGCTTAGCATTACACTCCCTAGCTCTATCCATGTTGTTGCAAATGGCAAATGGCAAGATTTCATTCTTTTTTAATGTCTGTATAATACTCCAGTGTGTGTGTGTGTGTGTGTGTGTGTGTGTGTGTGTGTGTGTGTGTATCATCTCTTCTTTATCTGTTCATCTATCAGTGGGCATTTGGGCTGCTTCCATAATTTGGCTATTGTAAATAATGCTACAATAAACATAGGGGCACATGTGTCCTTTCAAATTAGTATTTTTGTATTCTTTGGATAAATACCCAGTTATGTGATTACTGGATCATATGGTTTGAGAAACCTCCACACTGTTTTGCTTAGTGACTGCACCAGCTTGCGTTCCCACCAGCAGTGCCTGAGGGTTCCTGTTTCTCCACATTTTCATCAGCACTCGTTTCTTAGTTATTTGTTCCAATAGCTAGCAGCTTTCACTGTCAAAAAATTCTTCCTTAGGTCTAACTTATACCTGTACAACAGTTTAAGCCAGTTTCCTCTTCTCTTTTCCTTGTTAGAAATAGGGAATATATGTGGACACCATTCTCTTCTAATTTTTAAATATCAAAGGCAGATTATTTAGGAATAAGGGAATTTGGGCTGTAAGAGGGTTTTTGCCATTAACATTAGCTGTGTTGCCATGGGCATGTCTCTTACACCTTTCTGTGCGCCAGTTTCCAACAAAGCAAAACTAATGCCTAATTTACCCTGGAGAATTTTTTGAGCATAACCTAAGGTAACGTGTAAAAATGTTTAGAAAGGTGCTTTACAAATTCAGGATACTATTATTTATGTGACTCTTAGCAAATTAATATTCATTATAATGAGACAGTAATGACACCTATGTAATTTGTACTGTTGCTCCCCATCCATTATCCATGACAAACAGTGCTAATCAGTTACGGCACTCTTTTTTGTGACTTTTGACTTGACCATTGCCAATTGATCAGAATTTAGCATGGAAATTGAAATCTGTGTACCATCCTGATATAGGTACTCTCATAAGCAGTACTATAGAATAGCTAGGATTCCTTTACCCACCCACTTGAAGAGTTCTCCTGTCTGGCATAGTGTCTGGTTCATAAAAAAATACTCAATGTGCATTGATTGAATACGTGAGTGACATTGGTCACTTTTTCTTCATAAATCTTATTTCATTCATGATTCTACTCTGAACTGTTTCAAATCCTTTATGTTTTTCTTTATAAAGCCCAGAGTTGAACACTTCCTATGAAAACCTTGTAATTAATGAATTTGGGATTTGTGATTTTGAGGTTTAAATACTTCCTGCTAAGTTTCCTCACCCTACTTTGGTCTTCTTACCCTTCTAATGAGAAGTCTGTGTCTTAGTCCTTTATTAAAAATTAGATTCAGAGGGGCGCCTGGGTGGCGCAGTCGGTTAAGCGTCCGACTTCAGCCAGGTCACGATCTTGCGGTCCGGGAGTTCGAGCCCCGCGTCAGGCTCTGGGCTGATGGCTCAGAGCCTGGAGCCTGTTTCCGATTCTGTGTCTCCCTCTCTCTCTGCCCCTCCCCTGTTCATGCTCTGTCTCTCTCTGTCCCAAAAATAAATAAACGTTGAAAAAAAAATTTAAAAAAAAAAAAATTAGATTCAGAAAACAAAGCTACTCTGGGAAGAATCAAGAAAAAAGAAGTACCCAAATCATTTTAAGCAAATCATGTATATATCTGGAGGATAAGAGCTTTTTAAAAGTTCATAGTCTTAGAATATGGAGAAGAGGTTTGTCAGTCTGACAGAGTGCATAACAGATCAGAGCTGCACTAAGAGTGGGAAATCAAAGGATAGATCATCCTCCATCCTTTGTATTTGACTTAATCATGTTTTAAACCAGTGATTCACATGAAATAATAAAACTACATTTTAAAGACCAGATTCAGGAGTATATGTAAAATTTTCCCATGTTTCACTTATCAAAACACTTGATTCCCACCTAAAATTGGAGATAGAAGATATCATTACATCTCAGAATAAGCTACTCTCTCATTTTCAAAGCTTGCTATAATTCTGTTTCTTATTTCCATTTACTCTTGGGGGTAGGTGCTTAATTGACTGGTTCTAAAAGGCATCTTTTGGGTCACAGGCCTGAAAGGCAGAGTAAGTAAACAATCATTTGATCCCCTAGTTTGCTTAATTAAAATCACTGAGAACTTAAAAGTAAAATCATCCCTATAGAATACTTAGTCAACTGTAATAAAAAAATTTAATTACAACTGCTACCTTTTGAAATTCTTTTTAGGCACTCCATTATTCTGCCTTCAATGGCTCTGCTGCATTGCTGACTCATAATCTAGGTCGTGTGGCATTTTCTTGGTGTCTTTTCTTTCCTAATGTGAAATTCCCTTCATTTCCAATCACATTTCTCTTTTCATCTTAATGTGATCTTTTTCTCTGAGATGCAGTATTTACCCGTATTTTTGCTGTCACTTGCTGTTTAATATTCTTATATCACAGGCCAGTATCAGATGAAAATGTTAATTAACCCTAGGATTAACTGACCAGTTTACCAACTATTGCTAAATAAAGAACACATAGTTCTTTGTGTTGACACTTAATACATTGATGAACATTCTACTCTCCAGAGTTAAATGCTCCCCTTAAACACTTATGTGGTCCAGACTATCTTTCCTGGTACATTAATGATTATATAAATAGTTGGTAAGCCTAAAATCTAAAACCTTGCTAAAATTAAGAGGTCACTTATATTATTTCACCTTAATCTATCAGGTCTGTCAATCCATAAAAGAAGGCAATTAGATTAGTTTGACCAGACTTGTGCTTCAAGTCTGCGTGTTGATTATTCCTCTGTAGGGAGTTTTGTGATGATTTTTCTCCATTATTTTCTTAGGCGTAGAAGTAGATTTTGAACGTTTTAATTTACATTCCTTTTCTTTGTTTTCTTTTGAGATGACACTGTATTGGCTCTTTTTTAATCTTTATCCCTTTCCATTCCCTGAGTGGTAAGTGGTGATTCAGTCAACTAATTTAATAAAATCATTTATGCAATTTATTTATTATACTGGGAAATGAAAGTCTTTAGGGACAGCTTACATGCACACTTTAAGTTAATCATTTCATACAAATTCTTCTATTCTGCCTTTAGTTCCTTGCCCTTATGGCTGCTGTTGGGCTTTCTCTTTACTTAGTTTACTGTTTTCTAATTGTTAAAGGTAAAGGTAATAGGAGCTCTTCTCATGCAGTCTGTCAGGTTAATATAGGAGGTCCTTGCAGGCAGTCTATCAGATATTATCTGCTTTCCTTTCTCTCTCTCTCTCTCTGTCTCTCTCTGTCTCTCTTTTTTGAGAGCAAGCACGGGAGGGGTGGAGAGAGGCGGGGAGAGAGGGAATCTCAAACAAGCTCCACACCCAGTGTGAAACCTGACGTGGGGCTCCATCTCACGACCATGAAATCATGATCTGAGCTGAAATCTAGAGTTGGATGCTTAACCAACGGAGCCACCCAGGCACCCCTCCTTTCTCTTTTTTGTTTTTCATTTTCCCCTTTTCTTTGTAGATATATTCATATGTCAGGACAGTAGAAAGTATGCTGGTTTAAGAATTAAAGGCCTGAGTTCCAGCTTTAGTTTTTCACTGATTATGTAACCTTAGCCAAGTCACTTAACCCCTCCAAGCTTCCATTTCCTCTTTAAAAAGTATTTCTCTATTCAGGTTCTGAATTACTAAATGTATGCCTCACATTGTTACTATTTCTTTGTGCTTCTCAGTCTGTCTCCCAGCCTTCACTGGTTAACCACCAGAGTTTCCTCATATATTATTTTACATGTATTCGGCAGTAGAGATCCATAATCTTTTATTATAAAACATTAGGGTGGGAAATGTTTCAGTATTCTGAACTGTATTCAATTTTAGAAAGATAATATCGTTATCTTAATATGTATTTCATAACACCAAAATCAGACACACTGACAGTATTTCTGCCACCAAGTGTATGATTGTTCCATTAAATGGCATATGTAAGACCATAAGCAGCCTTTTATCTTTTCAGGTTATATTTACTACCAAATGAATTTTGGCCCTAAACTTTAAAAAAAAAAAAAACAAGTTTAAAAAAAACCAACTTTTCCGAAGTGCTTTGAGTTTAGAGTTGCGAATTGTGGTGAGTGGTTTATTTTTCTACTACACCTGGATTTCTTTTGTTAAACTTCCCAGATAGTCACTCTGATTTAAATTTCTGAGCTTATTGAAAAATTTGAGTTCTGGTAGTTCACTTTTCTGGTTTCTTCAGTTTTCTAGGAATCCAGAACCAATTTTTGATTGCTTTCGTCCAACATTGCTTTTGCCTTTAGATCCCCTTCTAATAACTTTACCCTGTTTATGAGAATCAGAACCACAGTGCTTTCCTAAGAAACCCTGGAATCCTTTAGACAAGCCAATTATCCTTAGCGCGGTCTCCCTGGAGAATCCCAATCCCAATTGAAGCCTGTCTTAAAGCCAAGTCACAAGGCACTGAATTAATTAGCCTTCAGTTTGGAATTTGCTGACCCTCTTTTTTTTTTTTTTTTTTTTTTTTTTTTTGTTATAACTTTACTGTTATATTCAGATAATGCCACAAGGTGGTGCCCAAATAGCAGTGAATTTCTCTATCTCACATTTCCAAATGCCAGTCAGCTTCCTGACCAAGTTCTTTGCCCTTAAAGTACAGTCAAATATATTCAGTAAAGGAATTTTGTAAGGGATTCTGCTGATTTGGAAAGGTATGTCAAAATAGCAAGTGTTAACTCTAAACTCACCTTGATTTCTGTGGTAATTCCCCTGGTTCATGACTTGCAAAATGTTTTACAGACTTTATTTGAAATAATAGCCCTTGAGAGGAAGCACTTAGGCTTATCATCTATATTTTATGGTAAATGACTAGCCATGAAATTAGAACTGGTATTGTGGCACCTAATGAAGTGCTCGGGTCACCAAATCATGTGTGGTCTGTATTATCTCAGGTCTTGGTCAAAGTATTAAATGGAAACCCAGCTTTTCTGTTAAAAATTGAAGATGGATTGCCCAGATTTCTGATTTTTTTGTTTTGTTTTTAGAAATAATTCTTTATTTCCCTCCTTATATGTGGTTGTTTTCCCATGTTGGAATTGTGTGTTGCGGAAGGTAGGCTCTTGAAAATGCTCTAAAAATACTGAAATTTGATTTGCCTCTGAAAATTTTTTTTCTGTAAGACTGTAGTAGGGAGATCCAGCTAGAGCCCAGTGGCCACCATTTCTATTTGAGCAAGAAGACAGAAGAAGAATATTCAAACCTATTCATCCCTATTGAAATATTTTTAAAGATCAGTGAAGTGGGAAGAACAGGCAATTATATTGAAGCACTAACACAGTTGAGAAATAGAATGAAAATAAATACATTATCAGCAAGACTGGAGTCTGGTCGTGCTAGGTTCTGACTTACTCCACATACTTTTTATTTCTGTTAGCCCCAGATCTTTCTTTTTTATTATATAGTACTAATAACATTGCTTCCACTTATAACGCATTTGGAAAGTTAAAGATATTAACTCTTGGAGTCAGGTAAGAGAAGACCAGGAAATTCTCCTGTCTCATGACTGAAGTTTGCTTATAATTTGGATTAAAGGAAAGTCACTGGTTATATGGAGCGTACTTCCACTTTTCATACTGTCCTTACTTACAGAGAGAAAGCGACTGGAAGCCAAGCAACGGGAAGATGTCTGGGAAGGCAGAGACCAGTCTGCAGTTTGAACATCACTTAAGGAAATGGATAGTTCCATGAATTCAGAAATTAATTCCATAGTCTTCGGATAGGAGGATCCTTCTAGAGTTCTGTGTACATGCAGAAGTGCGTGTTCATGAAAGAACGAGATAAAGCCATTGAGGCGAGCACTGACTGGGTCTAGAAAGAAGGTGGACTCCTGTCCGTCTTTGCTTCTAATTGCAGTCATTTGGAATTGCCATACTGTGTTGGGCATAGAAAGGAGCCATCAGCTAGGAAGCTGACTTGTGGCAATTTGGATATGACTTCCAAGAGTCCTCTGGGCGTGGCAAGCCCCACTGTTACCATGGTTCATGTGTCTAAGATGTCTGAAGCAGATACAAAACAGAGGATTCAAACCTGCCATGATGGGCCATTCCGGCCCTGAAAAGGTAGGGTGTTCTTTCGGGCCTCACAGAGCCAAGGGGTGGCAGAGGGAACAGTGTTTGAAGTACTTGGTACTCACCGAATCCACACTGTCAATTCCAGAACTCTGGAGCTGGTGAGCTGCAGCAGATGTAGGTGTTTGAGCTCCACAGTTTGTACTGGGCCGGGCGCCTGGGGCTGCTCCAGCTGCACAGCAGCCGAGGGCATGCCTGCTTCAGCCCTCTAGAAAGCCAGCCTTGGGAGCCGTGTGCTAGTCCCCGCTGAAAGTACTACCGTGTTGTGAGAGGGAGACATTAAAGCTCAGTCTATGACCTACATCACTGCTATTTGTCACTTTTGTCATTCCCACAAAAAAACTGGGGAACAGCTCTCCTCGTATCTTCATCCCTATAAAGTTGTGCCTGGGTTCAGTGGATCTGTTGGCTTTATTGAGCCACACTGAGTAGACTGCTGGTCCTCTATCTCTCTGCCTGAGTATACTACAAAAATGCCTCTCTCGGGATGGGTATGTGGTAGCTCCCCTCCCCTTCTTGCCCTCCCTGGACATGCCCACCCGAGCCTCTTGCCTTCTCCCATTTCTGTCAAACCTGACATTCTGCAGAAGGCTTCTGGCACACAGCATGTTCTCGGTATCATCTTCTCAGCCTGTGCCAGAGGCACCTGGCAAGCAACACCAGATGATCCATTACAGTGAAGAGTTGCCAGAATAAAACAAACACCTCTGGGCAGTGAGCAGTTTCCTAAAGGACACTGACAAGCCTGAGCCGCCAATTCAGGCTTTATCCATCTCATACCTGCGCTCATTGTTTTTGGAAGGAAGTTCTGCACTGAAGAACTGGGAGTGCTAGACTTTAATAGGTTGAGCTAGCAAGACGTAGTGTCCCATCATGCTTTCGTTGAGGGCGGCAGCCTCATATTTGTGTGTGGTGCCCATGACAGTGATGGATTATTAGCACTGCCTAGAACATGTTAGAGTGGGGGCTCTGTTCAAATGTTCCTCAGATGACACTGGCCTTGGGTCTTAGCCCTGACCCAACTATCCCTGCTGCTATTCTGGTCTTGGAGGCTTCTTGCAGCTCCTCAGCATTGTTTTTCTCATTCTTGGTCAGTTCTGAAAGTGTCCCTTGTTCCTATTCAGGGCCTCCCTTTCAAGGTGAGAGGATTAAATAAAACCTCTTGATCCTCTGTCCTAGTATTGGGTCCAGTGCACTTCTCTGACTTGTAGCCACAGGGCTTGTGCTCTCTGTCTTCACACAACAGACTTCTTTAAGATAGACAGGTCTGTTCGAACAGCATGGCTACACTGGAAAGGAAAGGCAGGGAATCGTAGCCAGGCTTCATACTGAATGGTACACTTCTGAGGTACACCTTTGCTCTGTTTTGATTCTTCAAGGCTAAGAGTGACCTTGGGCAGTAAAAAAGATGATTGTCCCTATTACTTGTCTTCCCTTTTCTAATAGCATTTTGGCTTTTTTTTTTTTCAATGTTTTTTTATTTATTTTTGGGACAGAGAGAGACAGAGCATGAACGGGGGAGGGGCAGAGAGAGAGGGAGACACAGAATTGGAAACAGGCTCCAGTCTCTGAGCCATCAGCCCAGAGCCCGACGCGGGGCTCAAACTCACAGACCGCGAGATCGTGACCTGGCTGAAGTCGGACGCTTAACCGACTGCGCCACCCAGGCGCCCCGAGCATTTTGGCTTTTAAGGGCGTTGGTAACGTAGAGCTGCATGTTTATTACCCAGTTTTCTTAATTACTCCTAGCTTTTAAGGTACTGTTGTCATTCTAATGCTGTCTACTAAGTGGCTAGTAGCGTATGCTTTTTTCCAGCTTGCGATCAGCCACCTCTTTCAGACTTATCCTTATAATTAGACCCACAGAAGGGATTTGTGTTTAGCCGGTACCTAAAGCTGTGAAGTGTTGCTGCTTCCACCATTAGTAGAGAACGTGCTGTTCTTTTCTTGAGAGAGAGACAGAGAGCAAGCATGTGCAAGGGAGGGAGGGGCAGAGAGATAGGGGGACAGAACTTCCTTCTAAGGAAGGAAGGATCCAAAGTGGGCTCTGTGCTGACAGCAGAGAGCCTGATGTGGGGCTCGAACTCACAAACTGTGAGATCGTGACCTGAGTCGAAGTTGGACAAGCCACCCAGGCGCCCTGAGAGTGTGCTTTTTAGGTATATTTTCCATTGATGTGTACGGGTGGAGGTAAGAGGACCTGCCACGGCCCAGCATGGACTACACTGAGCTTGTGCAGATGGAAACCACATCCTTGGCCCCATCCATATGCCTTCACAAGCTGAGCCAACTGGACAGCACCCTGTAGCTGCCCCTGGCTCCTTTGTTAGATATTCCAGAAGACTATGAATGTACTCTGCTAGGTGTTTTTGTTGCTTCATACATGTTAAATGACTAAATCCCAGTGTCACCTGGTGTCTGTAGTAGAAATGTACATCCCCTTGGAGTCCTAACATGCTCCCCATAGAGTGAAGGTCTTGGTGGAATAGAAATAAATTAGGCTTCTAATTAGTAAGCCGAGGTTCCTGGCACTTCAGCTTCTCAGACTACAGAATGCCGGGGTGAAAGTCTTCTGACATTTTTGGTTCTGTCTGGAATTTGGTGGTTGGTATTCTGTTAACATTCCTCATCTAGTTACAAGCCATGCCAGCCACCAGTCTTCCCACGTCCTTCCCTTTCAACTCGGTGGTGTAACAGCACAGCCCTTGTATAGCTTTTTCCAAGAATTAGAACGGGCTGCACCTATCAAGTGTGTGATGTGGCCAAAAAGACTGAGACCGGAGCCAGTGGCTGGCTGCCTGGCCCGCTTCTTCTGGCCCTCTCGGAAACTGGATGCAGGAAGAAGCGGTGGGTACCTCCCTGCCTGAGTCTAGTCATCAGCCGCCACACGCTCCCCCACGAGCTGCACATTCTTTCACAGACCATTAGCTGCATGTGCGAGTATAATGTTTTTACTGTTTGGGAGAGGTTTTCTGGATCCAACAGGAAATCAGTCCTTCCCTTGTTTACCTAAACTGCCATGCCAAGATATAATGCTCCCTTTGCCTGATGAAGGAGTGGAGAAGGTAGAAGAGAAGGGGGAAGAAAGCACTTCTTTGTATTCAGAGAGGATAGCTCAAGATCATGTCCCTTTTTACCCCGTAAGGAGGGAGGGGATAGCTCACATGCTGTGGGGAGGGGTGTACTGTTGTAAATCTGCCCCATCTGCTACTGTTCATTTCAGCTTTGCAGCCTCAGTTGTAAAAGTTTACGGTCCTTGGGCTTTTCCTTCTTGCCTCCTCCCTTTTGTCCCTTAACCTTTCCAGCCCACGTTTCAGCCCTGAGCCTGGGGAGAGAATTGGGAAGCAGACTATAGTCTGCTAACATCAAAGGCTGATTTCAGAGAAGTGTGGTGGGACTGTTGTGAGTAGTATGTGTGCCCCACGTGTACTAGTCACCAGCTCAGCAAGAGTGGAAAAGGTTAGATTTCATGGGCTAGGGACCCCAAAGAGCTATATAGCCAGTCTTGTCTTTGTAGCTGTCCATACTGAGCAACCTTTATTGGCACTAGGGCATCAGACCTGTAAGGATCATCTCTTAACGTGTGTCTAACTTATTCCATGCAAAGTTCACTCCAGAAACTTGGTTGAGACCTGAAATTGAGGCAAGTCCTGAGATGCACAGTGATCTTGAGGGAGATTGGATTGCCTGCCAGGTGTATGGCATATTTTCTCCTTGGCAGAGGCCCTGGCAGGGGCCGGGGTCCATGTTATCGCAGCAGCCTTTCTGCTTGGACTTCTCTTGCTGCTCTGTAGGAAGACCCTATCTGGCCACTTCTGCAAGTCCTGCCCCTTCTCAAGCACTCAGTAATTGGTGGTGTTGGCCCATCAGGAGATAAGGGGATGCCTGAGGCCTAAGCTTCCAGGATATTAGAAACACCCATATGTGCAGTAGGATAAAGCTAAAGGCACTAGAGCAGACTCTTAGAATGACAGGTGAGTTCTAAATGAGCGCAGATCAAACAAGGGACTCAATTCATCAACTTCTCTGCCAGTTGTGACTTTGACACAAGTTGTGTTGCTTTGAGCTTCTAGCAGAGCTAATCCTGCCTCCTGTGTATTTCTGTCCTTCGTCCTCTACTCCAAGACTTTTTGCAAAGCACCGTTTAAATGGGGGGTTGGGTCACAGCCCATCTCTAAGGAACTGATTACTCCTGAGCCAAGAACACTGGGGCAAGATCTGGGAAAGATGGGGTCTCCTTGTGGAAGAGCAGCTCATCTGAACAAAGCCTAGAGGCCACAGACTGTAGACCAAAGGCCTTTACGGGACAGGCCCAGAGTCATCCTGAGGGAGCAGTACCATTTCGTTTGATATCTTGCCATCAAAGGGCTTCCTGAGCAGTTCTTGGTGCCACTTGGCACTGGCCCCTTTCCTTCTGAGTTAGGGCTCTGTGAAGGGCATGGCTCCAATAAGCTGAGGTATCTGGTGTGTGGGCAGCAGCCGGAAGTGTGCGGTGATGGCCTCAAATGAGGTTGTTCCTGAGACGCTGCTCCTGCTCCAGGGAGAGCTCTGCATTAGCTCGGTAAGAATCTCCTGTGGACCAAAGAAGAACAGGTAAGTAGCCAACCCTACCGTGCTCTCATCCCCTCCCTAACAGCTTCACTCACTCACACACACACACACACACATTCTGCCCTGCTCACCCTTTACATTAGGTCACTCATGGGCACAAACACCAATCCATTTTGTAGAAAGAGACCCTGACGTGTAGTTTCATGGACATAAGAAAGAATAGGCTACTGAGTGGAAAGGGTTGTGCTGGTTATTCTTTTTTGCCCTCTCTCCATCCCCAGATTCCTTCTCTACCCTTTTTGTATTTTTTTGTGCTCTACAGAATTGGCCCCTGGAAATTGCCTCACCCTGGCCCCCTGAGCCTCTGGTCTCTGATTTAGGTCAGTGGGGAGCAAAAGCAGGAGATCAGCAGATGGCAGGTGGGGGAGGCTGGGGTATTTCTTCTCTGTTCTGTGGTGATGGCCTCATCAGCTCTCCCTGACCCCAAGCTCGAGCTTTCTCCTGGCTCCTTCCGGTGCCCCTTCAAGCCAAAAGGTGTTAACAGTTTTCCACTGTTGGTATCCTCTCATTTCCTTAGTCCTATTCACATCTAATTCTTTCGTCCTATTCACACACTATATAAATAGTCCTTTCATGAAATACCTTTGTACTCTTACTGGGTTTGCCCTAGCTTTCTGCAGGGACCCTCACAGTGGCCAGAACAGCACTATTTTTCTTTCCTCCCTCACCGCCTGGACCCCCAGCAGCCTGCTCTCCACTGTGCAGTCTGAGGTTCCAGTTCCGATGTCTCTCACGTCCCTGTCTCCTTTAATGGCAGCAAAATCGACCCAGTCACACAATTTCAAATACTTGGACTATTTCCTCTTACTGTCTTACATCTGTTGCTAGACTCACCTTTTGAAAACATAAATCTGATCTTTTTGGTCCCCTTGACTGAAATTTGTCAGTGGTTCCCAGAAGCCCACAGGATAGTCGTTCTCTTAGCAAGAACCACCATAACCCTGCCCACAAAGAGCTTTAGCGGGTTTGAAGTATATAGCTCCATTTTAAAACAAAGAAAACGTTTTTGTGGTTGAGATTTTCCTTCAGTCTTAACAGCTCTACGGAAACTGGTGGACTTAGACTTAATTTTTTTAATGTTTATTCAGTTTTGAAAGACAGAGACAGAGCACAAGCAGGGGTGGGGTGGAGGGGGGGGGGGGACACAGAATTTGAAGCAGGCTCCAGGCTCTGAGCTGTCAGCACAGAGCCCGACGCGGGGCTCGATCTCACAAACCGCGAGATCATGACCTGAGCCAAAGTCGGGCGCTCAACCGACTGAGCCACCCAGGCGCCCCTGGACTTGGATTTAGATCCCAATGAAGCCTTGTCCCCAAATCCAACGAGGCCAAATCCTATGCTCTTTCTCCAGTTCTTCCTTTCTTCCCTGACTTCTGCCCCTCCTTTTGAAACCCAGCTCAAATGTCACTTTCTCTGGGAAAACTTGTTCACCCCCAGGTCGTTGCTTTCTCTCCATGCTTGCTCAGCATTGGTTCATATTGATTTGGAGTACTCCGTATTAGGGTTATCCATTTGCATGCCTGCTTACCCTGTTCACCACTGAGCTCCACGTTTTACTTCTATTTATTTAACTAGTGCCTGGCATAGTGTTCAACACAGAAGTGGGTCTTAAATGTTTGCTGACTGAATAAACCAGTCTTGCCCCACCTTACCCCATATGTGTGAATGCAAACACCCCATAGCAAATATAGGCATTTCATAACTTGAAGATGGATTGCTACTTTCCTTTACAGACCAGGGGAGCAACCACCTCCTCACTCTGTACCCCACTGAATCATTGCATCTTCCTCTGTCCAATTCTACCAAACCTGCAAGTGTGCTGAGCCCTGTTCCCTGTGGCCTGTGCTGTGCTCACAGCTGGGGACAGCAACCCAGCTGGCGGACTTCCACTTTTGCCCGTGAGGCATTCAGCTTAAGGTGGGGACAGCTAAGAAAGACCATGTGAATGGGGGAGTGAACAATAACGGGCCTGGCAAAGAGAAATCTTGACTTGAAGTAAGAGAAAAGACCCCCGGATAGATGGGGGACGGAGTTTATAATCCACGCCACCTTCAGGACAAAGAGGGACACAAGTAGTTACTGGGTGAGGCTGCTGGTGGGACCAGCTGGATCTAGAAATTTACCTGGGAAGACGTCAAAGGAAACTCCTCTCTGTTCCATCCCTGACCTTCACGCCCAGTCCAGTCACACACAGACATGCACACAGCCTCCCCTGGCTCCCTGAGCCCACAGATACCGGCCCCACACAGGCTCGCACTTACCTGTGTGGCAGTTGTGCAGCCAGACCCGGTGCCCGTCATACTTGCAGCGGCACCGCATCACGTTGTTAGAGAAATCAGACTCTGCCACCTCGTATTTGGGGTTCACAACCACCTGGAGAGGGGGACAGTTGAAAGCAGGTGATGTGGCTTCTGAAGTTGGCAGTGGCTGGAATAATCCTTCATATTTCCTGTCATCTCACAAAGGGTATTTCTGTTCTTCACTTCATTCGTCCTTACAGTCACCCAGAAGGCCGGCACTCTTGTTCCTATTTGACATTGTCCATTAAATCAGGACTCAAACCTAGCATCCTCTGGATCCTCATTGAGTGTTCTTTCCCCATGGCAGAGCTCCTTCAAGTGCCAGGCCTGTCGGAGGCCCTATTTGTGAGACTCTCTTCCTTCATTTGACCTCAGGAAACTTCTGGAATATGTGCAGGAAATGGAGTTCCTGTGGGGAATCCCCAAACCCCCTTACCTGGAAGATATAATTCCCAGGGCCCACATCTGTGATGTCCACCCACTGGCAATCAATGTCATGCCGGTAGGTGTCCCAGCAGCCGACAGTCACTCCCTGCTCCCCAAAGTTGGCACACGCATAGCGCTTCTGTAGTCCTGTGAAGAATGGCGCTGATGGTTAGTGAGGCAATGATAGGTGCTCAGGACCAAGCATTCTGCTCAAGTTGCTGTTTAATCCTCACGCCATTCGTACCATTCAAGTGCAATCAGATTAGGGACCTGCGATTCCGTTACATAACTTGCATGACTATCAGAGCCAGATTTCCTACTAACCATGAACCCAGCTCTAGCAAACCTCCATCTATGGCAGATTATTTCTTTGGATGCTCTAGTGGAAATTCCTGTTGGCTGTTGGCCTAGGATATACGGTTGGAAGGTTCCAGCCCTACATGCTAAGGATACATCGTCCAACCCTTTGAAGAGCCAGTGTTTGCCATGCTGTCCTTAAGGGCTGGGAACTGTGGGTAGGCAAGTAGGAATCTGACGATCTGTGCCCTCAAAGAACTTAGCCCAAGTGAAATAGCCCTGCAACTACTATCCAAAATAGTGTTAAGTATTTAGAAGCAGTACGAAGTGCGTTGGGAATGCAGAGGCAGTGGACCTTCCACCTAAGATGTCAGAAGGTAAGAAACCGATCTTTCTGAATTGCCTGGAGTGCTGACTGTTGCCAGGCCAGAGTCTCCAGGTGTCTGAGGTGACTTCATCTGAGGGCAGAAGGGAGCCTCACCCTGAAGGGGCTGAGGAGTAGAACACAAGGAGGAGATGCTGACAGGAAACCATATACCTGTGGGGCAATTTGTGTCCTCCAGGCAGAAGCTGGCCTTGTGCCCCTCAGCCACCTTGGAGCCATTGAGAGTGAGTAGGTCATAGTGGGTGAAGACCTCAATGCTGTGGTAGTGCCTGCGGAAGGGAAAGAGCTGTGAGCTTGAGAACAAGAGGAGAGGGTCCTCTCTGGAGGAGCTGGCAGGTCAGTGCCCTTCTCCCTTTCCAACCCAAGATTAGTGGGACCCAGGGTCTACTTTCCCGTCATCCCCACCAGGCAGCAAGGCACTGCTGCCCCCACCCTCTAGGGCGTTAACCCAGGTGAGGGGGGTAAGTGCGGTCCTGGTAGCCTCCGGGAGGCTGGTGCCTGGCTACCAGGCCTGATCAGAGGCGGCAGGAAGGGACACTTCGAGGGACCAGCCTAGGAGTCCAGCCGCTGAGGAGCGGGGCTCACTCTCCTCCCTGTGAGCCTGGGACCAAATTGCTACCATTGTTTCCAATCCAGTTCTAATGACAACTGTGTTCATGCTGCAGGGAAAGGTGCTCATTATCTCAGCAAGGCCAAGTCCCAAAGTCGCTGCCCCTTCCACTCAGCTTTCCCCACCCTGCTGTGTCCTGAACAAGAAAATACCATTTTTCCATTCTGCCTTTGTTACAGGCATCGTCTGTCCTGTGTGGGCTGGAGACTCCTGACAGGAAAGAATGCCCATTGTCTCCTTTTAGTACAGTGTTCACACTTTTCTTTGGGGGCCTTGCTCTGCTGTGGCAGAAACCAGCAAACTTTTTCTGCAGAGCTAGCATCCTGGATGGGATGTCTATTTTGGGTCTCCAGGTTTCTAGGAGTCCCCACCTTAATGTGGTTTTCAAAGACAAGGCCCAAAGTCCAATGTAGAGAAATTATCCAATATTCCAACAGAGACCAGCTCAGCCGGCAATGACTGCTCCCCTGGCCGTTCCTGGGGAAACGCACCCTTTGAGCGCCATCAACTGGGGTACATCCAGGACAGGCAAGGGAGTGACTGGCTGGCAGGGCCGGTCGATGCTCCTGGGGCTCCCTAGTGGCTCCTGGAGGCAAAGCCAGTAAGGTGTCTAGGAAGGAAGGCTCTTAACCCAGAGTGCACACCCCTCCGGGAAAGTGAGTGGGGTCAGGGAAAGACCAGACTGGTTTGGTTCCTGGACTCTGCTTTTTGTCCCTCCAGAGCCAAGGCAGGAGCAGGCGCTAACCTGTGGCACTGGTGCCAAATCCAGCTGTGGCGGCCTGTCTTGGGACGGAAGTCAGCCCGGCCCAGGTTGTAGATCTGTGAGGAGAAGCGCAAGAGGCGCCGGTGCCCGTAGGGCCAGTCCATGAGGTCGGCCGACTGGGACAGGCAGTTCTCTTCGTGGGCACAGTACAGCTGGCTGAGCGGGCGGTCCTCCAAGTAAGCCGTCTCCTGCACCAGCTGGGCATTCATCACAAGGTCCGGAGCACCTGGGGCCACAGGAGGCACAACGCCGTGCAAAAGGTAGGAAGGCGGCCAATTTGCTCTTGGGCATAGGGAGACAGGCATGCCCCCAAACCAAGCTCTTGGAGGAGCTACCAGAAAAGTGGAGCTCTACCCAGAAGAGTAGGGAGGTTTAGGAGTTAAGACTGGGGAGTTCTAGCAATAGAGGAACGATCTATTGCCTTGGCCTGGGAAGCAGGTACAGTGTCACTGTTAAGCATGATGGCTTTGGAGCCAGGCTGCCTGGGTTCAAATCCTGCTTAATTTCTGACTGCACCATTAAGTAGCTCTGTGACTTGCTTCACCTTTTGTCTCTCATCTTCCTCATCCATGAGAGAGGGATAATAATAACGCCAATCGTGCCAGTACCTGGAACGTGCTTAGGTCATTGTCGGGTAAGCACGCAGTGGATGTAAGCTAGTCTTTCTTTTGTCAGGTGCTTCTCAGCTCCCGGGGGCCTTTGTGTAGCCTGGCTCACAGTCCCTCCTCAGCCCCGCTGCCTCCAGCTTGGCGTCCTCAGCTCAGTCACTCCCTCTGGGTCTCAGTTCCTTCAAGGAACTGGCAGGAAGGGTCAGAAAGGTTCATCTCTGGGCCTGCTCCTGAGCTCTGCCATTCTGGTCCATTCCGCTGAAGTTCTAGGCCTGTGCCTCCTCCAGAGCTCCTGTTCTAACAGGATTGCTATCCTGGGTATTCATACCAGGCCATCCCGTGCTCTCTCCTCGGAGGCATCGTGGACATTTCTGGTGCTTCTCTGTGCATAAAAGTCCCCGTTGCTCGAAAGGCTGCTCAGTGCCTCTCCTGTTCCCTTCCTGTCACAGGGGCTCTTACCCACCCCACCCCCCGCCCTTGGAAAACACATGTTCCCTGTACAGAAATGTGGAGAGCTGCAGCTTTTACCATGTAACATCAAGAGAGAAGAGTTGCCCATTCTCAATGCTTGCTCTTGGAAAAGCTGGGTTACAGTTTAGATTTTTGGTAGAGGCATCCCCTGGCGGAGCCTAGGTGCTGAGGCTGGTGAGACGGGGCTGCTGGTTTATTTCAGTGCGGGGGGGGGGGGGGTGTTGGGGACGGAGGGTGATAGCAGGAACTGGCTGGGTTGCCAGATGATGCCTGTACTGTCACTAAATGCTCCTGAAATTCCTGTGGTGTGTTTTGGAGAAAGCCAGGCTATGCCCACTGACAGACCCTTGTGCTCCTGAGGGAAAGAAGGAGAGCTTTCAGAGAGACTGAGAAGGAGAGAGGGTAAAGGGAAAAAAGGAGTGAGAAAAACCACGGAGGAGAGATAGGGATGGTCCCACAGGCAGCAGGTCGCCTGTCTGTGCTCAGCTGTTGTGAAATGTCCAAAGCATTGACCAGGCAGTAGACCAGGGAGGGGGTGCAGGGTTCCCAGGATGGGGAGACACTGGGGAGCAGGCCCCCAACGTGCTGTGAGCCTTAGTGCCGGGATGGCCCACTCTGGTGCCACATGATTGCAGGCGAGGGTGCACTGGACAGAGAGGAAGCCCCAGAGCTCACTGACAAAGGTCAAGGCTGTCTTGGCATGCAAGTTTGGCCGGGAAGAAAGTCAAGTAGTTGCACGCGTTGGTGCCAGCTTGAGCCTTTGGACTGGCCACAGTTATCTTGGCATCGGCCTGGTTGGCAGATGTCAAACAGACGCTGCCGCCCCGAGAATCTGGGTGTGGGGGGTGGACCGATGCCTCAGAACAGGCTTGGGCCTGTTGGGCCAACCCCACTGCTCCGGGGGAGGACACACAGCAGAGCCTTAGGCCGTGCACGCTCCTCACAGTTGCATTCCCCGTACAACAGCTTTCAGACTCTTCTTACTACAAGCTGCACTACGAAATACATTTTACGCCGTGGCCCAGCACACACGTACATAATCCCAGGATGACTGCCCTTACTAAGTGTGACACATTCTCTCGTTTTCTATCCTGTTTCATTTTTTTTTTAACGGTCACGACAGGAAAATTGAAAATCACTGTTGGGTATCCTGGGGTTTTCTCATATTCTCTGTTTTAATCCTCACAATAACTCCACGAGCTGGGCAGGGCAGGGCTGGATCCTCACGTGACAGGGGACTTGGCCACACACAGCTGGTAATGGCAGAGCCGGTGCTCCAAGTCCCGCCCTCCTACCCCCCACCCTTCCAGGGTTGGGGCTGGGACCAGCTCTCGGGCCCTCCTGGAGAATGGGAGGTGCGGGCTCACCAAACTGTCCCACCGGCGCCGTGGACTTTACTCACTGTCTGTGCAGGAAACTCCGGCCGAGAAGCGCCCCGCGCCGTGGGAGCAGTGCACCGGCCCGTGCCGCGAGCACTGCTGCAGGGCAAGCTCTGTGCCTGAGCAGCGCACGCCGCTCATCACCACCTCTCCGGCCCCCGGCGTCCCCTGCCAGTACCAGGTGTCCTGAGAAAACAGCCAGCAGCCCCTGGTTCAGGCCGAGGGGTGCTTTGGAAGCCTCTCCTCTGATGCTCGTGCTCTAGAGCCCTGTCGGACCACCCCTGCCCAGCTGTGTCCGGCCTCGGCTCAGAAGTCTTCAGGGATGGGACGCTCCCTGCTATTGTGCGCCCCTCCGAGAGCAGAAGTTTCTTCCGTTGCACTGAGGCAGGAAGATTCTTCCGCCACTGGCCTTGCCCCCACCCTGTTCCACACGGCTGCCCTTAGCTATTGGAGAGGGGGCCCTGTCCCCTGTCCCACTCAGGTGGCCTGCCCCGTTTCTCCAACTGTGCCTCGTGTCGCCCTGGGCGGACGGCTGTGGGTAGGGTTGGCCCCAGTTCTCTAAGTGAGGAATACCCGGCAGCCCCACTGGCCAGGCGGGCCCAATGGAGGACGAGGTAGCATCGCAGCTGCGCCCCGGCCTCGTGATTTTCTTTCCTTGGCGCCTCTTGAATCTCTCTGAATTTCCCCCAGGACGGCCACTAGCCTGGGCCACACCAGCGTGACTTCTCGGCTGGGCTATTGCCATGTTAGGTTTCCTGTATCCATGCTGATCTCCACCCCAACAGTGTGCCACACAGCACAGAAGAGATTTTCGAGAAACGTGCACTGCAGACTTCACGGTTTGCCTGCCACCTCCCTCACATATCACACCACTGGCCCTTGGTAGCCCCACTCCGGCCCTGGTCCCTGATTTCCCCAATGGGGGCAAGCCTCCATGGGCCACAGGGTCTCTGCGTGGGCTGTTTATCCCCACCCCACCTTCTCCCGGTAACTTCCAGTCATCTTTCCTACAGACAACATACAAAAGTATGTGTCTGTTATGTGAATGTTTTCCGGTGACCGCCTTCCTCACTTTACTGACTGTCCCATGAAGCAGGGGCCACGTCTTGTTCTCCACACTGTCCCTGGTGCCCAGCATTCTATCGGCCCCCCAGTTTCACTCAAAAATTCATCACTGAATGAATGCAAGAAGGGTTAGCACTTGTAGCACAGGACGTTGGGAAGCACAACAGGAACCTACCTTGATCGCGTGGCTGGCAAAACCCAGGCCGAGCTGTCGGCAGGCCACCATGGCTTCGCTGAGCCCCCAGTGATCGCTGCACACGGCCCCCCAGCGCTGGACTCCATTCACCTCTACCTGCACCTCCACCACACCCTCCTCAGGGCTGCGCCCACCGGCCAGGCGCACCTGCAAGGGTCACAGGTGTGTGAGGAGTACAGTGGCCTCGGGAGGAGAGGGCTCAGGACAGCCAGCCTGGATCTGCCCAGCCTAGCTCGCTGTGCAGCCCTGGGCACGACACTCCTCTGGGTTCATCTCCTCTGTTCCTTGGGGACGTTTTGCTAGTGTCTGATGTCCCTGCCCAAAAGGGACACCTGACTCCAGGTGCCTCACCTGCTCTGGTTTTTGTGCTCCTCTTACCTGAAATTCTACCATTAGTGATGGCTTTGCCAATGGCAGAGGGCTTTCATATCTATTGTCCCATTCACAATAACCCTGTGAGATAATTAACCCCAATTTACAGAAGAAAGCCATGATCAGAGACATGAGCGATCGACTTGTCCACCATCCACGTCTGCAGGGCCCTTGAACTCTGACCTTCCCACGCAGCCTTGCCAGTGCCTCTCCCAGCACTGACAGTCCTGCGGCCCTCTGTCCTAGCCACCTTCGTTCGCAGCCTCACCGGGGGCCTGAGAGGCTGTGGTGGGACAGCGTATCTGCCTCAAGGGTGCCCGCCACCATTGGACATCTCTGAGGGGATGTGGGCCAGGCCAGGGGACTTCGAGGAGAGGGCTTTACAGACTGGCTCTGAGAAAGTGCCCACTGGTTTGATGTATCCTGGGGCTCTCTCTCAGGGCTTCCTAGCCCCCCAGCCTGAGGTCATGCCCAAGTCTGAGCTCACCTGATTCTGGAAGCCCATGTTAGGGACGTTGCACCTGACGGCGGCATCATTCTCATGTTGACAACCATTCTGGGACCCTTCCAGGGAGGGGCAGTCAGTGAGGGTCCGCTCATACCCCCTGCAGCGCACCTCACTCAGGTGGATGGGCCCCAGTCCTACGGGGGAGAGGGAGAGGTGCTGTGCAAGGCCCCATCTCTGTAACCCCACACCTGTGGTTTCCCCTCCATAGACAGGGAGACCTTCCTGTCCTGGGCCCTGGACACCAAGGGATGGAGCCACGGCACATCCAAATCCTCCCGCCCCACCCCAGGCCTCCTCACCTACCTTGGCCCAGCTGCGCCCCAAAGAGGGCCTCCCGAGCAGAGCCAAAGCCAAGTTGACGACACACAATGCTGGCGGAGATGAGGTTCCATCCATGGTCACAGACGGTACCCCACTGGTGGTTCCTGAGCACCTCCACCCGGCCTTCACCCACCTGGGCCCCAGAGCGGAGGCGCACCTTCGGCTCCTGCTGCGAGAAAACTAGCTTCAGGGCAGGCTGAGGAGGGGGCAGGGGCTGAGCCATGGCAGGGGGCCTGGGCCGGGCCCCTTCAAGCTGGGCGAGCCCATGACAGGGAGCTCCAGTCCCACCTCTGACAGCTCAGAGATATTACCTCCCATAAGCCATTTTTCTCAAGTGCTCTTTCTTCATGACAAAGAACCACCACACTGACAGTAGTAGTAACAAGGGAACCTTAGGAGTTGGGGTTCTTGGGCTTCTCAAGCCTTCCTGATCTCTGGGGGCGGGGGGGTGTTCCTTCCTTTTGTCCAGCCCTGGCTTCTTCCCTGTTCTTTGGGGCTGAACTAGATCGATGCTTCCCAAAGGGGTGTATGAGATGATTTGAGAGCTGCGCAGGGGCATGGCATTAATTAAGCTGACTCACACATTGGGGAAGTTACTCCTCCGGTCCCTCCTGTTTCATGGAGGAGGCCATCCCACTGTGGGGCCGCCATGTCTGTAACACCTCACCGGCACTTAGGCGTTGCTTTTTATAACAAAGGGCCAGGCTCAGGTTCAATACCTTCGGGCCTCAAATGGGTGTTAGCTACGATGTAATTACTGTTTTTATGGTTGCCTTCTATTCATGACAAGTGATGTCAGCTTTCCATTTATGGTCGGGATATAAATGTTTCCTTTTAAATAAATCCCAAGTTTCTACCATGCTGTGTCCTCCTCCCAGTCTGCACCAATGCCTCCTCGGTGGGGGCGGGCCTCCCCTCCCCTTCCCTCCCCTCCTCCCCTCCCCTCCCCTCCAGCCTGTCCAGGAGAGCCCCTCCCCACCGGTTCCTGCTCAGACCCAGCCCAACCCACCTCTGCCCAGGATTCCTTGCGCCCAGGCTTTGCCTTCGCAGGGCGGAAGTGGGGCCCTGCCACACAGCTGACCACAGCGTGCATGCCACCCGGGCAGGCTGGCCGCAGCTTGCCCCGTGCTGGAGCCACCTGCACCTGGCAGTTGGCCATGTGGGGCTCTGTCCCCAGGCAGTTGACCTGGTGGATCCAGAAGGAATTCTTCTGTGTCAGGCTCTTCAGCCTGGAAGACAAGGGAGACTGAGGGTGGGGAGGGGTTGAGGGAGCTCAGGAGTCAGGGAGGCCAAGGCACTGCGGAGGAAAGGGACATGCCCTCCCCTTCATGCCACACCCCTCTGCACCCTCCCCTAAGGATGCTGCTCCTCACCTAGACTTGGGGTCCTTCATCTTCAAATTCCAGACTTTCCTAGGTGGGAGAAAACAGGTGGGGATGGAGTGGGTGCAGGAGACCCCCTGGGCCCTGGCTCCTCAGAACTGTTCTTGAGTTTGCACTGGAACTCTGTCTGTAAACTTGGCCACATTATGTCAATGCTGAGCTTCAGCCCTGACACGGGGTCTCTGCACAGACACCGATGATCTCCATTTCCCAGGGAGAAAAGCGGGGCCCAGCAAGGTACCTTGACTAGTCCCCAACGGGGGTTTCTTCGGCACTGGACCGCCCCTGAGTGGGCAGCCCCCAGCTCGCCCTCTCCCCACATGCAGATGAAGGGGAGCCTTGAGGGAGCGCCCTGAGAAAAGGGGAGAGGTCCTGGGGGGCGGGTGCAAGCTGGAGACCTTGGTGGTGGGGGCTGCCCACTCAGAGGCTATAATCAGGGCTGCCCTCCTCCTCATGGGTGCTGGGCCAGTCAGCCAGGCCCAGAGGTGCAATTACCAGGCAGTAGGGAGTCAGGGGCCCTCATCCCAGTCATCCCCAGGGACGGAGCCACGCGCGTCTGGTCTTTGGGAGCGGGCCCAGGTAAAACAGAGACACAGGACAGAGCCACCAAACCAACTGGAGGTGTGCAAGGGGGCGACCACTCGGATGCAGGGTGGGGGCTTTTGCCCTTGACGAGAAACACATCTACTTTTCACTAGCACAGAGCTGGTACCATTTAGAGGCTGATGCAATCTTGTGACAGTTCTGTCACGTTTTTGACAGAGTATTTTTATGTTTCCTCTCCCAAATGCTGCCCCACCCCATGTCCTGCTCACACGCAAAGCAGTCAAAGCCTGGCTCAGATCAGAGTGGAGGAAATTCCCTGCGGATTGGCTCATCGAGGCCCCGGGGGCCCTACAGAGGGCCCACAGCGTGGAGTTGGCAGAGCGGAGACCAGAGCTCAGGCTGTGTATACTTGTGGGCACCACCGTAAGTATCTTCAGTCAAGCCCAGTTTTTAAGCAGGGACACAGGTTTGCGTTCAGTTGTTTTCATCTGGGAAGCTTTCTGTACTACGGTCAATTCTTTTCATACGATTAGCAAGTAGAGTGTTTTTCTGTTTCGAGGTTCTTCCCAGGGTCTCCAAGTTCATCCTCACACTCCCTCTCATTATTCTGAGAGGCCCGGAAGTCCAGCTGGGACTGTTTCCCTCCCAGCCCCACACCCACGGCCATGTCCTGCCACAGACGCCACCCTGCCCAACTCCCTGAACTCTGCAAGGTCCCACATGTCACAGCCACGCACACGTACTCATACGTGTCTCTCTCACGCACAGACGCACACACATATGCTCACACGTGGGTGCACGCACTCGGCCACCGCCCCACAGCCCCCTGACCCCCGCAGCTCTCCGTCCAACTGTCCTCCTACCTGTAGTAGTGACTGTTGACAGGTGCCTCGCTGGGGAAGCCCAGCATCCCACACACCACCTTGCTGTTGTTCCTGGTCCAGCCCTGGTCACACACCTGCCGCCAATGTCCCTCGTACCTCACCTCCACTGCTCCCTCGGTCACCAGGCTATGCCGCTTGGTGCTGGCGAGAATGGGCTTGAGCCGCACCTCCTCCAGCCGCCGGCCCTGCAGGGTACAGAGTCACTGTGGGCCCCAGGATTTCTGCGCCCACTGAGCCTGCTACAAGGTCTTCACATGGGAGAGCCGGGGCTCAGAGCACTTAGAGATCACTCCATCCAGGCTCTCAATGGACAGACCAGGAAACAGAGGCCCAGAGATGAGGTCATCTGTCGAAGCCACATAGCACAAGAGACCCTTGGTTTATCTACAGTCCTCTCTCAACTCTAGAGAGAACCAGGCAGGTCTGTGCTCCCCCTGGGATCAGGGTCAGGCCCCTTGGAGTTTGGGAGGCTTCTGCTGGGCACAGAGGGGCCTTCTCTGTGTTACCCTGGGGAGAGCTGAGGATGGGCATGGACCAGCTGTTTGAGACTCCCAGCAGGATCTTTGGCCCATGGGACCCCTGCCCTGGCCCTGGGGTGACTCAGACCATGGGGACCACCCCACCCTGGCCTGCTGCATTTGTGGGCCAGGGCCAGCTGTCCTTAGACTGGGGCTGCCTGGCAGTTGGAGGGTAGGAGCCAGGACCTGCCCTGCCTGCTCCTGTTGTTTGGCTTGAGCTGTTTTTAGCTCGAGGTTGTTTGTGCCGGGAAGAGGCAGCAATTGTGGCCGGGCCTTGTGTGTGAGGCAGCCCCTCACCCCTGCTGCCTCCCTTGTGGGGAGTAGCTTCAGCGATCCCCAACAGGCCCAGCCTGAACCCCCAGCCTGCCCTGCTGTAAGCTAGGCCCTCTGTCTGTGCACCTGTTCTGGGCCGCCAACATGACGTGGGGCTCCAGGGACGCTTGTCAGCCCACTCTGCTGCTTTTCCCTTCCCTCTTCCTCCAGGTTCATCACCCGTCCCGTGACCCAACACTTGGCTCTGGCCAGGGCCTGAACAGCCTCCTCACCTGGGGTCCAAGGGCATTGGAGACCCTCTCAGAAAGATAGCCACGCTGGCGCTGGGGGTGACACACCACCCCAATGTCCTCCGAGTGACTGCAGTCACTGACACCCCAGCCATTGGACATGCACTGGTCCAGGGAGCTCTCTGTGCCCATACAGCGCACATTGTCCAGCCAGATGGGTCCTGTGGGCAGGAGACGGGTGATGCTTAGGGACAGAGAAGCAAGTCACGGGTTGTGCCTCCTTCATAGGACCCCACAGTTATCAACTGTCTTCTTCCAGAGCCTGAGTAGAAGTGGGGGAGGGGAGTTGGTTCTCCTGGGATCTTGGTATCTACAACCCTACTTGCTGCCTCCTTTTGGCAGCAGGTCCTGTAGAATCTGTTTTTGGAAAATGCCAGGTAGGTTTAGTGATTAGATCTGTCCACCCATTCATCCATCCATTTGTTCACTCAACAACATTTGCTGAGCACCTACTATGTGCCAATCACTCTGTAAGAATGGAGTAGGGTGGTGGTGGTGGTGACCTCACTGTAGGTGAGAGTGGGAGGGTCGGAGCAAGTGTCTCGTGCAGCCAGGGCACTCAGGAAATACCTCATGGACGAGGTCATTTGAGCTGGGTATTAAAGGATGGGCAGGAGTCTGTTGAAGCCTCAGGATGCTCAGCCTTTGAGAGAAACCCACTATCATCTCCTTGTCTTCCTGCTGGGCAGCACCAGGCACTCACCCTCCCCTTGGCCATACTTGGCACTGTGGGCCCAGGTCAAGGCTGTTTCAAAGCCCAGTTGGCGGCAGGCCACCGTGGCCTCCTGGAGAGCGAAGTCATCGTCACACACAGTGCCCCACTGGCCCTGGTACAGCACCTCCAGGCGGCCCTCCTCTGGCCTGCTCCCTGGGCCCACCAGCCGTAGCTTCGTGGTGCCCAGTGACTGTAGCCTGCAAGGAGGGGCCTGGAGCAGGAGCAGGAGCAGCATGAGCAGGGAGAGGGCAGCTGGTAGGGACCACATCGTGGTGACTTCAAGGGCAGCTGGGGCCAAGGCACCTGAGGAATGAGTAAACGTGACAGTGATCACCACCTCTACCCCTGACAGTGATCACCACCTCTACCCCTGACCTAGGCCTCTTCTGCTGGCTGTCAGGGACAAAAGATGGCAGGGCCCCTCCAAGTGTGTGTGCGCATATGTACATGTGTGTGTTGTGGCATCGGTGGAGTCTGGGCTCTGAGATTAGGCAACTTGGTCTAAACCCACTGTTCGCTGTCCATGTGACCTTGAGGAAGTTTAACCTTACTGATTCTCAATTTCCTCATCTGTAAAGTGGGGATAATAATCCTTGTCTCAGTGTTGAGAGTGTTAAACACTGTAGGTAAAGTGCTTAGCACAAACCTACCACACAGCACTCAGTAACTAGCTGTTCTCGATACAGTCCTATATGTTGGTAGAAGGGGTGGCCTACCCTTTGAGTCATAGGGGAGTCCCCAGGGTGCCCTCAGGTCCAGAATAGCTACCCCAGGGGCACGACTCTTGCACCCTGGCCACCCTCACCATGGAAAGCACATGGAATGCTAGAGGGGAAACAGTCATGTGAGGGGGATCCAGGCCTCTACCACTCATTTGCTGTATGGCTTGAGCAGGTGTCTCAAATTCTCCAGGTCCTAATTCCTTATTACTAAAGTGACAAAACTAAGCCAAAAATTGTCTAATACTTCCTCTAGCTAAGATAGTCTATGATATCCTCAAGCTCTGGGTGCATCTAGACACGTGATTCACTGATTCAACAAACATTTTTGGAATACTTGCCTCAGGCCAATTATTAGGCCAGATGCCAGGACACAGAAGAGAAGACATCAAACACTTACCCCCTGCTCTCATGAAGCTCAGAGAAGGGGAAGCAGGGAAGGCTCTCAGAGAGGGGATACTTAATCAGGGCTTTGTTGGCTGAATAAGAGTTCTCCCTTTGTGGGGAAAGGGGTATTGCAGGTAGACAGAAGAGGGGGTAAAAGAGGAAAGAGGGCAAGAGCAGAAAGCGTCCTCTCTTTCCCCGGTACTGTAGTATTGGAGGCCTGGAGGGGGCAAGAGTGGAGGCACAGGCTGGGGCCAGATAAGCAAGGGCCTTGGGCACCACGAGAGGGTCGCTCTTCACAGGAAGTGAAGGGCCACGGGAGGGTTTGAGGCAGTGAGCACACACCAGAGACAGGGTTCCTGTAGTCACATCAGGTGCTCTTTGGGTCCCTAGAGGGGGCTGAGGTTAAGGGTTGGCCTTCTCCCCCTCATACATTAGCAGCCTGGGTCCCGGGAACAGGGTAGGGGAGGAGCAAAGGGGAAAGCGTAGAGCTGGTTAGGGCTGCCAGAGTGTCCACAGCCACCAGTGCTGAGGCTCCTCCACCGCCAGGCTCTGCAGCTGGTGAGGGGTTAAGGCTGGCCTGGAACAGGGTGGAGAACGTTGGGTCCTTGACTCCCTGTTCAGTGCTTGAGTCTTGAGAGAGCTCGTTCTGGGGAGACCCCCTCTTCCACGGCCACCGCTGCCACTAGGAGACTGCATAGCCGGTCAGTCTCAGCAGGGAGGGCCTCACAGGGCCCGCGCCACTCCTGTCCCCACAGACTGGTAGTCTGGCTGGGAGTCAGTCCTTGCTCCTTCCTGCACACAACCCCTCCCCCTTCAGCCACTGATCCTCCTGCTTTGGTGAGCCCATAGCTGGGTGGAGGGGGCTCCTAGGAGTGTACTAGATGGGCTCAGGAAGGATGCTCCGTGGGGACGGTGCCCCCAGTGCCCAGATAAGTGCCAGCTATGTATGTAGGTGACACCAGGAAATATCACGGCCGCATGGATGACACTGCACAGCGTGTACACGTACAGACCAGGAGTCAGACCACCTGGGTTCACATTCCACTTCCAACAATTAGTTTCTGGGTCGTCTCGGGCAAGTGATTTAATTTCTCAGTGCCACAGTTTTGCTTCTGTAAAATGGGGATCGTAAATAGCACCTACCTCGTGGGATTCTTGTACAGATTAAATGAATGATGAATACATGTTAAACCCTCAGAAGAGAAGCTCTCCATTGACAGGTAACTATTATCAACAGTAACTGTCACAGCCACTATAGAACCATTGGTCTGGCTTGGTCGCAGCCCCTCTTGGATAAAGGAATGGAGGCTACACCCTAAGTCATCAGCAAGTTCCCAGTACCCTTCTTTGTGACATTCTCCAGATGTGCCCCTTTTCCCTCGGAGCCCAGGTTCTCCTTGCTCCCCTCCCTGGGGCGGGGTATTATCTCCTCTCCATCTTCACCACTAAGTCTCTTCCCACCGGGATCCCTCCTGCACTTCCTTTCCAGACACAAACACTGTTTTCTTCATGTGACTCCTCACTCTGGGGCCTGTGGGGCTCCCAACCCACTGTCACCATGAGCAGCCTGCTCTCTGCTGCTTGGGGTGTGCCATTGCCTCCTCTGAGAACCCCTAAGGAGGAGGTGGACAGCTAGGGACTGAGCCAAAACCAAGTCACTGGGGGTAGGGACCTTCCACAGATGGTGAGAGGGTGAGAAGGACTGGGTTCAGGGCCCTCCAGCTGATAGGACCCACTGGGGCGGACCTGAGAGATGACCCCGCCCCCTGCCCTTGCCCCCATCCCCTGGGAGCCCTCACTCTGCCACCAAATGGCTATGTGACTTGAGTTAGGGGCTTCCCTCTCTCTGGGACTCAGATGCAACACCTATAAAATGAGGGTGTAGCACCAGGGGTCCTGCTAGTGATGGGCCAATGGGTGGGCCAGGCAGGTCTGCTGTGTGGCTTGTGGCTGATGTCCCACAGCACCATGGAGAGCTTACTGGAGGCTGAGCATAGTCCAGGGCCGGTAGGCTCCCTCCTCACCAAGGGGCCTGCCTGGAGGCGGGGACAGGCTTCTGCTGCAGGACCCAGGGATGGGAGTGGGGTGAGGCTTGCTGCCAGGAGAGCTCCCAGGGGGGTAGATGGGGCCGAAGCAGGAACTGAGAGTCCCTCCTCCCAGCCTTCCCGCCACTGCAGGGCCCCCTGTAGTTTCTGCTCACCCCAAACTTGCCTTCTCACCATTCTCCAAACATACGCTTCCATTCTCTGCTTCCACATCCCAAGCCTCTGCTCTCACTGCCCCTTCTATTTGGAATACGCTTCCCTCTGTCCCTGATTGTTCAGTTCCAACACCCAGCTCAAATGCCGCCCCTCCATGGAGCCCTCCCGGGCCCTCACCTTCCTAGCACTCTAGGTGTTTGCTCCCTATCTCCACAGCCAGCCTCCACAGTGTCTCCCCGGAACTCTTCCTCCAGTGCCCAGCATAGGGAACACGACCAGGCTGGGAAGCCTCCCTCAGAGAAGGAAACAGCCTCAAAAGTGGCAGTTCTTTTCGCCAGTGAAGGAGAAGGGCACAGGGTAGGAAGGTGGTGGTAGTGGTGGCGGGCGGTTAATAATAATAATTAATTATTAGAGTACATTTAAACCTATCCATGGAATACTTGTCTCTACTTTATAGATGCGAAGCTGAGGCCCAGAGAAGCTAAATAACTTGCTCAGCTGGGATTCAAACCCAGGAAGCCAGGCTCCAGAGCCAGGCTCTCAGCCACAAGAGAGATGGATGCCGGAGGAGGAGGGGAAGGAGAAACGGAGGCAGGGAGATGAATGAAATTCCACCCTGGTGCTGGCTGATTGATGGCCCAGCCGTGGTGTGAGGGCACTGGGGTTGGTGCCAGCACTGAGTGCAACCAAGTGACAGATCCAGGACCTTGCCAGCTTGAAGCTTGAAGCGGAAAGGCACCTGCTCCAGGTGCTACCAGGGGACTCTGGCACCTGGCCTGACCTGGCCCCTCTAGGATGGGCTGGAAATGCTCAAGGGTGTTCTGGAGAGAGCATGGGGTGGGTGCTGCCCTCATGGGCACCAGCCTCAGGGTCACTTGAAGCCCTTCTCTCTGGCTTTTGGGGATGGGGTCCCTCCCTGGGATCACTGATTACGGTGACCTGAAGCAGTGCCAGCAAATGGCTCTGAGCTCTACCATCCAGGCCCAGGCCGTGTGGCAGTCAAAGCCCTCTGCCCACCCTCATCCTCTGCCTCCCCACCCTCTAGCATAGCCAGCTCTGGTTTATTTAGTTGAAGAGACTCGCTCCACCCTGCCTCTTTGTCCCCCAAGTCACAGGAATGACATGGGAACCCACCTTGCCCCTTCCCCTGCCTCCTTCCTGGGTGAGAGGGCAGAGAAATGGTTACACTCAGCGTGTTCACAAACAAGACACGCAAGCACCCCAGGCCAGGGCGCACCACCCCGGGCGGGCCTTGGGCCAAGCTCCCTAATTTGGTCACTTCCACTGGAAGCAGGTTGGTGAGCTACTAGGGGACTAGGCCAACTGTCCATGGGACCCCTATCCCTCCCATACCCCAGCCTTCAGGAACCCTCAGAAGCTTGAAGCCCCACAGAGAGACAGAAGTGGGACAGACAGGACGGCAAGAGACAGACCCGGGGCCAGGGGCCAGGCGCAGGGTGGGGGGAC